TTCACAAACCTGCGGTAATAACTTACAATCACCAGAAAGCTATGGATCTCCTTAACCGATGTCAAATTTTTCCAACCGAGCACTACTTCAACTTTTTCGAGATTTACTGACACACCCTCTTTTGATACGATGTGCCCTAAAAATGTAGTCTACTCAAGCCAGAACCCACATTTACTCAACTTGGCATACAACTTCTTTTCTCTGAGAACCTGCAAGACTTGAGTCAGATGGTGAGTGTGTTCTTCTTTGCTTTTTGAATAAATCAAGATGTCATCGATGAACACAATGACAAACTGATATAGGAATTATCTGATAAATCCTGTTCATCAAGTTCATGAAGATGGTTGGAGCGTTGGTTAGTCTAAATAGCATGACTAGAAATTCATAGTGTCTGTACCTGGTTCAAAATGCTGTCTTTCGGATGTCTTCTACCTTGATAATTATCTGATGGAAACCTGAACGCAGGTCCATCTTGGAGAAGACCTGGGCACCCTACAACTGATCAAAGAGGTCATCAATCCTGGGGAGGGGATACTTGTTCTTGATCGTGACCCTATTCAGACCTCTGTAATCAATACATAACCTTAACGTCTGATCTCTCTTTCTTGTAAATGTGACTCTGGCACTCAAAGGGAACACACTATGTGGGATGAATCCACTGTTCTGCAATTCAATGATCTGTTTCCTCAGTTCATCAATCTCAATGCGACTCATGCGATAAGGAGCAACCGAAATAGGCTGCGTGCCTAGCTGAAGGTCTATGGTGAATTCAACTTTTATGTCCTCTCACAGTCTAGGTAGTTCGTCTAGAAATACATCTGAAAAGTCTCGAACTACTGAAATCTCTTGAATACAAATATATTTATTGGGTTTGCCTAGTTAGAGAAAACAGTTGGATTAAACTACTTGATTATAAGAAAATTTACCATGAGGGAATAAATGTTAAATGATTTTATTAATTTATAAATGACTCCTCATTAGGAGGGTTGAATACAACTTTCTTGCTAAAATAATCTACAGTGGCGTGATACGCTGATAGCTAGTCTATTCCTAAAATTACATCAAAGTCTCCCGTGTCGATCTCTATCGGGTCCACACTCAACTGTCTTTCTGTTATATCTATGACACAAGCTCTGTATACAACCTCCCCCAGTAGTGTCCTACTCCAGGAGTAGACACAAACAACACAGAATCAAGTTTTTCAGGTAATATATTTAATTTTGATGCAAATATATATAAAACAAATGAATGCGATGCACCAGTATCAATCAAAACATGAGTAAGATGGTTACACATAGTGTACATACCATGTACCACGTCCGAGTTGGCTTCTATATCTTGCTGAGTGAGATTGTAAGCCCTGCCTTAGATAGGAGGTCTGACCTGTTTCTGGTTCCTCGGGCACTCCATTGCATAATGTTGGGCGCTACCACATATGCAGCAAGTGTTATTAAGGCGATAGCAAGGTCGGTCCTTGAGATTCTTTCCATAATGGTGGCAGATCTTGTCGCGTCTTGCTGCTGGAACTTGAGGGGGAGCTTGAGTCATCGACCTGGGTCTCTTGTTCTGTTGAACCGGTGCAGTAAGTGCTTATCTGTGGTGTGGGGCTGAGGACCTGGGGTTCCCTGCTGCTTGAGGGAAGGCGCGAAGGCTCCTCTCCACTAACTGTGCCTTGGCCAGAACAACCGAATAAGTACTGAGCTCGAGCACAAACAACTGCTGTCTGATCTCAAGACGGAGACACCACTCAAACCTTCTAGCCTTCTTACCTTCATCCATCATGCTCTCGGGAGAATATCAACCCAACTCTAGGAACTTTCGAGTATATTCTAATACAATCATGTCCCCCTAGACCAAGTGTGCAAAATCCATCTTCTTCAAATGTCGGAGATACTCTAGGAGGTACTCTGCATGAAAGGCCGTCAAGAACTGTTCCCAAGTTACTGGAAAGAACAAGGTGGTCTGCTTGAGTTGCCACCAGCGGTCTACTTCTCCCACTAACATATAGATAGCAAGGATGACCTTCTGTTAGGGGATCACCCTGAGGGTCTTGAAGGCCTTCTCTATCTCAGATAACCAGAACTCAGCCTCTTCAAATGAGAATCCCCCTACAAAAATAGAAGGATTTAGACTTTTATACCTTTGTATGTAGCCTGGGTCCATCATGAGAGGAGCTGGGTCTCGTGGATGAGGGACTAGACTGTGCTGAGGATGGATCAGATAGCCCTGCAGTGGTACTTGATGATATGGTGGAGGCACCGGATTGTACTGTGGTGGTGCCGGATGATGCGGTGGCTGGAGCACCGGATCATACTGTGGTGGTGCCGGATGATGCGGTGGCTGGAGCACCGGATCATACTGTGGTTATGCCGGGTAGTACTGTAGAGGAGCAGGGTCATATTGATAGTTCGGGATCCTCTCGCTGTAAGGGTGGCTCAACTTGTAGTGGCGGGGGAGGGTCAAGTAGCTCATTCCTTTCCTCCCGGACCTACTGAGTAGTAATGAGTCTCTCTACCATCTCAAATAACCGGTCAATATAATCTCTAAGAGAACCCTCCCGGGCTTTTCGATTTAGTGGAGATCTTCTTCACCTCATCTATCTGTACATGCATTTCACAATGAATGGTTGAGTGATAATTTATTATTTTTTATGTTTTCTAAGGATCTGTGTAAGGAATGGGTCCGAGAAACGCAACTCTGATACCAACTATAACGGTCCCGAAATGTCCAAAGAAATAATTATAACTTAAGTACGAAAATGAAATAAATAGTTAAGGTTTACATTCCTTACATAATAACTTAAAGTACCAAATAGTGTTACGAGAATTACCCTTTTAAAAGAAATATAAAAAAAAATAAAATATGTAAAAAATAAATAAAACTAGCATCATACTCGCAACCCTCTTGTGGATCAGACTCTGGATCCTGGTACTATTGATCTGAAATGGTTAAATAAGAACTGAGCTACACTAACCCAGTAAAAATATTATGTCAACTTACCGATACAGAAATGAAGGTTGGTAGAAAATCAAAACAACTAATGAAGCATATAATTAAATAAATGTATTTATTAATAATAAAACTATTTACCGTCCACTTAACGTAGCGAGATTTACAAAAATAATATATAGAAACAATGACATTATACATATCATGATTTCATATGTAATCGGCAACATAACACATATATTTCATATTCAAATAACCGAAATAACAACTGTCACTTTTCATCAGTCTGCTGGTATCCATAGGGGTTCATAGAGATGTCCCTGCTACGCGTGAACCCTTTCCTTTAACAATTCAACTAGAGTTTGTGGCATCTCTATGAAAGGGTTTGACGGTCAGAAAGGGCTCCGATGTGGCGGCAGGTAGCAGGGGCTCTCTTTTCTGGCAGCTGGGTCTTCTTTTCCAGCGAGGGTGTATGGCAGGTGGGGTTAGGGTTTAGTGTGAAGATGATTATTTATATCCA